GCTTGAGCCCAGGAGTTTGAGGTTGCTGTGAGCTAGGCTGACGCCACAGCACTCACTCTAGCCAGGGCAACAGAGTGAGACTCTGTCTCAAAAAAAAAAATGTGCTTATATAGAAGTTAACATGTAAAGAGTGCCAGACAAAGGATTAGCTCCTTTACAGTATCATCTCCTTGTATGAGGAAAGGAAAAATGTTTTCATCCATGCTGTTTTATTAGTATCCACTGTACTTTGGGAACTAAAAATTCAAACACTTTCCTAAAAATACAGCTTTTATTTCATCACTCTTTAAAAACATGCACTAATTCAAACTCTTTGGCCTGAATATGAAAGCTCTCTATGACTTGGACTTGCTCTTCCTTATCCAACCATCCCTACTTTTTAACAAAAAGCCTTCCTTTATTTCAGGACAATTCCTTAGGGTCCTCCACAAACCCCATGTTTACTTGAGTCTCTAGGCCTAGGCTGACAAATATAGAATTCCCACTTTTGTTAATTCATCTAAATCCTCTTTTCTTTTGAGTGCAGCTCAAAATCACTTCTTCATATTCAATGCAATCCCTAACAAAATACCAATGACATCTTTCACAGAAACAAAAAATCAATCCTAAAATTCACATGGACCCACAAAAGACCCAGAATAGCCAAAGTAATCTTGAGGGGGGGAAAAAAAGCTAAAGGCATCACACTACCTGACTTTAAAATATACTACAAAGCTACAGTAACCAAAACTGCATGGTATTGGCATAAAAACAGACATATACAACAATGGAACAGAATTGAAAGCCCAGGAATAAATCTATGCATCTATAGTCAACTGATTTTTTACAAAGGTGCCAAAACACACATTGGTGAAAGGACAGTCTCTTCAATAAATGATGCTAGGAAAATTGGATATCTATATGCACTTGAATGAAACTGAACTCTTATCTTTCACCATATATAAAAATCAATAAAAAATGGATTAAAGACTTAAATATAAGACCTAAAACTATGAAACCACTAAAAGAAAGCATAGAGGAAATATTTCATGATATTGGACTAGGCAAGGATTTTTTGGATAATACCTCAAAAAACACAGGCAACAAAAGCAAAAGTAGACAAATGGAATTACGCCAAACTAAAAAGCTTCTACATAGCAAAGGAAACAACAGAATGAAGAGACAACCTACAGAATGGGAGAAAATATTTGCCATCTATACATCTGATAAGGAGTTAATATCAAAATTATATAAGGAACTTAAGCAACTCAACAGCAAAAAACCAAATAACCCAATTAAAAAGGGGCAAAAGACCTTAATAGACATTTCTCAAAAGACGACACACAAAAGGCCAACAAGTATATGAAAAAATGCCCAACATTACTAATTATCAGGGAAATACAAACCCAAACCACAATGAGATATCACCTCATACTTGTAAGAATGACTACTATCAAAAAGACAAAAGATAACAAGTGTTAGTGAGGATTTGGAAAAGAGGGAACCTTACACACTATTGGTGGGAATGTAAAATAGTGTAGACGTTATGAAATACAGTATGCTTCTCAAAAAATTAAAAATAAAACTATCATATGATCTAGCAGTCCCAATGTGGGGTATATATATCAAAAGAAAATAAAATCAGTAAGTCAAAGAGATACCTGCACTCCCATGTTTACTGCAACACTATTCACAATAGCCAAGATACAAAATCAACATAAGTGTTCAACAACAGATGAATAGATAAAGAAAAGGTAGTATATATACACAGTGGAATACTATTCAGCCATAAAAAGAATAAAATCTATTTGTAATAACATGGATGAACCTGGAGGACATTATGTTAAGTAAAATAAGCCAGACACAAGACAAATACTGCACGTTCTCACTTATAGGCAGAATCTAAAAAAGTTGATTTCATAGAAGTAGTGGATGGACAGTGGTTACCAGAGACCAGGGACAGGGGGCCATGAGAGGAATGGTCGATGGGTACAAAGTTATGAAGTTCTGTTGTTTGCATGCATGGTACGGAACTATAGTCAACAGTAAGATATTGTATATCTCAAAATAGCTAGAAGAAAGGATTTGAATTTCTTATCACAAAGGAATCATAAGTGTCTGAGGTGATGGATATGCTAATTTTCCTGATTTGATCATTATATAATGTATACCTATATCAAAATATCACATTGTACCCTATAAATACATATAATTATTATGCATCAATTAAAAATAAAATTCTTATAAAAATAAATGTCCCATTTTCTGTTCTTTAAACCCTCATTTCTTTCAAGACCTGTCTCCTACTAGTCTATAAGATGCAATAAAACAATTACATGCTTTTGTCTTTTCAACTATATACTGCTAAAAATCTCTTGGTTTATAGGTAGATTGGTTTACAGAATTTACACTGACATATTTCTACAGGGCTATAATTTTTCCTCCATATAGTCAGAGAACTGCATGCAGTGTCCTTTAAAACATCTCACACATACATAGACATGGTGCTTCTTGACGTGAATTATAATAAAATAATAACTTTTGTGATAAACTATTAAAATTTAAATATGCTAGAAAAATGAATAATTCTTAGGCTGTGAGCCTTTCATTGATAATGTGCTTAAATTCTTCAGTGATGTTCTTAAAACTAAAAGGATTTCCAAGTATAAAAGGTATGATCTATAATAAAGTTATTATAAATGTCTTTCTAAATTTAATATAAAGATAGCATCGAAAGGTTAAAATAGAACCACAGAATAATAGAAAATAAAGAGATTATCTGGCCCAGCTCTCTTCTGTTCAGAAACTTGAAAGTTTAAATCAGCTAAGACAAAATTGTTGAGAAAACATATAAAAGGGCCGGGCGCAGTGGCTCACGCATGTAATCCCAGCACTTTGGGAGGCAAGGCTGGAGGATCACTTGAGGCCCGGAGTTTGAGACCAGCCTGAACAAGGACCAAGACCCTGTCTCTACAAAAGAAATAGAAAAATTAGCCAGGCATGATGGCGACTGCCTCTAGTCCCAGCTACTTGGGAGGCTGAGGCAGGAGGATTGCTTGAGCCCAGGACTTTGAGGTTGCAGTGAGCTGTGATAATGCCACTGCATTCTACCCAGGGTCACAGAGCAACACCCTGTCTCAAAAGCCTCCACCAAAAAACCCAAAAAACCATAATATATTATATTGTTGATGGAAAAATATAAATATTGTGAAAGTATAATAAAACCTTGCTCTGAAATAATACAGTCCAAATTTATAATAGTGCTTACCTCTAGGGTTAGCAGGAATGGAGTAGGGTACAAAGATTTCAACTTTACTGGTAATTTTTATTTCTTTTAAAAAGGAAAAATGATGCAAATATGACATGTTAACCTTTATTAATTCTAAATATCCTACCTTATTCCCTTTACTTAATATTATTCTTCACTCAGTCAACAAACATTCAACAAACATTGAATGCTTACTACGTGCTAAGGACTGTGATAACTGGAATACTATATTTAGCTCTGACCATCCTATTTTAAGAGGTACACTGAGAAACTAGAATGTGTCCTTGGTGTCTCATGCATCTCAAACTTAGAAGGCTCAAAGTGGAGCTCATTGCCTTCCCCTAACAATCTGTCCTCTCTGAATTCCCCTTCTTAGTTAATAGCCCCATAATTACACATTCATTTAAACCAGATTCCCAGATGTTATCTTGAGTTCCTCCCTTAGTCCTCACCCAGCTTCCTACCAATTACCAAACTTTGTCAATACAGCTTCTCCTGAGTACAGCCCTGCCTGTTCAACCCACTGCTACTGCCCTAATACACCCTGGGTCAGGCCCGGCCTATTGTAAAAACTGCTAATATAACCCTTTACTCCCAGGACAAAACTTTCACATTTTAGCATGGCATTTTGTATTTGCTTATTTTCCCGGCTTTCTCTTGACCTCTTCCCCAGATGCACCCTGAGCTCAAGCCTTACTGAACCTCTTACAATTCCCTAAACAGAAAAAATGACCACTCATACTTCATTATCTCTGCCTGAGTTGTAGGACATTATGCATTGCATGATTCTATGCATGGGTAAATAAATAAAAGAAAAATGAATAAAATGTCTGAGTGATACATAAAACTATAAAAAGTGGTTACCTCTAGGGAGAAGGACTGAGGGTAAGAGAGGGGAAGACTTTAGCTTCTCTTTTTATAGTCTTTTAGAATAGTATTTGAATTCCTTACTGTAAGGATGTCTTCTTTTTACAATAAAATGTTATAATAGCTAACACATTATACTTACTATGTGCTAGCTTTACATATGTTACATCATTTTATCTACTTGTATTCCTATGAGGTAGGTATTGTCATCAGATATGGAAACTGAGGCACAGGGAACTTGCCCAAGATCAAATAGTAGCAAATCATGGACTTAGGATTTGAACCCAGGTAGTCTGGCTCCAGATCCATGTTTTTAACCACTGGGTTACATACTTCTAGTTTGGGATGGAGGAAGGAAGAGAGGGAGGAAGAAAGGCAATATAAGATAGCAAGATTTGTGGATTATATTTCTTTTAAGGTAAAGATATTAAAATGTTTTTTAATCTTCTATCTTGTTTCACTCTCTTTTTTATCTTTTATTTATTGATATTTACAACAAATAGTTTTGAGATTAACCATCCTTCTACTCCATAGACTTACTAAACAAAATAGGTACCATCATTTATGCTTCCCAGATTTTTGAGTATCTGTGAAACAATCTCCACATGCATATGAATCCAAAATACGTACTCTATTGCCGAGTTCCCTTCAGGAATTGAAGCAAACCCCATAATTGTTAATACTCATTAACAAAGTTACTAGGTAGGATCATATTTTCACTTATGCCAAAGATTGGCAAACATTTTCTATAAAAGGCCAGATAATATTTTAGGTTTTGCAGGCTGCTCAGTCTCTGTGCAATGACTCTGCCATTACAGCACGAAAGTAGCCATAGATAATACATGAATAAGCATGGCTATGTTTCAATAAAATTATGGGCATGAAATTTAAATTTCATATAGTTTTCAAGAGTTACAAAATATTTTTGTTCTTTTATCTTCAACCTTTTAAAAATGTAAAAACCATTCTTAGCCAGTGGGCCATACAAAACAGGTGGTGAGCCACATTTGGCCTGTGGACTATAGCCTGCCAACACTTGACTTTATTATTAACCTGGGCTCAATTAGGCTTCCTTTAGTTCGTTTTATTGGTGGCGCTTGCCTCATACGATGTTGTTGAGTAAACAATTGTATATGCTTATAGTTTCCTAGGAAGGGCCTTCTCTCAGTTGTTACTTTTTTCTAAACTCTCAGGTCTGAGGAAGTTTTAGGATTTAACCAAAGATCATCCTCACAAAAAGACTTATACACAAAAATCTAATGAATGACTTTGCAAGCTTTATAACTGACTATGATTCAAGTTCTTCATTTGACAGACAGCTATGATATTCAAAATAGTTCAAGGAAGTCCCCTTAAACAAAACATTTAGGATATATGCTATAAAGGCATGTAACAGTTTCTTTAAGAATCATACTTGTTTCTGGGATAGAGCTTATAAAAAGTTCTGGTTCATTTACTGGTGTTGGACTCTCTTCAAAAGCAGTGTTTCCAGGCTCCACTGCTTTGTGGCTCTGAGACTGGTCGAAACCTTCATAGCTTCCTGCGTGGGTGGTGTGGTTCATGCACATGAGTGATACCCCGGCTATCAGAAGGCTGCAGAACAGGGTTACTGCTGTGGTGATCATCTGTTGTGAGAAAAAGTCGTTAGGCCACTTTCGCAACCCCATCTTGAAAATCATAGTAGAGTAGGTTAAGGGCACTTTTTTAATAGAAAATACAACTCCACAGCTTCAAATTCTCTAGAACAGTGGTTCTTTAAACAGTGTAAGCATATGTAAAGAATCTAAGTTACTTGTAGAGAAATTACGGTTTGCTTGTAATCATAAGTTTTCTAGATGCTTCTTTCATTGTACAGCAATTGGTCACCAATACAGCCATTAGTTTCCTTTACAAGTAAGTTAAATGATTTCTTACAGACCTTTACTTATAAGTTTTTGCTCACTTTAATATATAGTTCAAGAGTACTTCAGTCAACTAGAGATTTTTTTATGGCAATGATACTAAACATAAATAATTATAGTTAATATTTATCGAGCACTAACTAGTTGCCAACACTAGCCTCAGTCTTTTATGTGTATAATCGTACTTATTCTCACAAAAACTCCATAAAATTCAAAATTGCAAAACAGAAAAAAAATGGTAAGAAATCAAAATTATTTGGAGAGGTTTTTTTAAACATACACATCTTTGGGCCCTAGCCCTAAAGAATTCAGCAGGTCCTACAAGCTTCCTACTCTATAGCTTTTCCAGCACACTTTTCCCTAGACACTTTTTGTTCTGAAATTTATACTTATGATAGGATTAAGAGGCAAGAATTTGACCTTTATTATTACTGCTAACTTATTAAATGGCTTTAAATTAATCACTCTTCCCTCCAGTAGTGAAAACGGAACTCATAACCGTGTTGAAGAAGGCTCTTAAGTTTCAAGCATTTAGAAATCTTCAGCTAAAAATAGATTTAGACATGCAAAATGTTTACCACATTTTGAGGTGTGACGAAGTGATCTAGGATCACCAGTATGATATGCAATAAGTTGAAATAGGTTTTCAAAGTTAATTTTAATGTATAGAAAGGCACATTAACAAGCGAAAAAGAAACATTCTCAAGAACAGAATTGCCAATGAACTCTTCTGACCTGCTCTTTTCCATAAAAGAAGGCTGAGTCAACGCTATCTCCATTGTGTTTTCCAGTTATCAAAAGAACACCAACAAGGAGAGCAGGGATTCTGTAATAGCAAGTGTTAATGAGAGAGAAAAAGAGAGAATGAATAGTAACTGTGTATACAGAAACAGGTAAGCAAACAGAACACTACCAACTTACCCCCAGCCAGATATTATGATGATTCCAACAGGAATTTGTACCCTCTCTCGCTTTTTCAAAAGAAACAGAGAAATTGCTAGGAGGCCTAAGAACAAGAAATAAAGATTGAAAGAGAGATAATTACTCAACAGTAATCAGATCTCATGGAACTTTATTTCCTTTTTTTTTTTTTTTAAACCAAATTTATTTCAGTAGTAGTCTTTTAACAACATGGCTTGTTGCTCAGAAAAATTCTTTTCTACAGTGTCAGGTTTTTTTATTTTTAATTTTTAATTTTAGGTAGTCCTAGATATGGCCAGTGGCATAAGGGTTATGTAATTATGTTAGGATCCCATCTTCTAGGACACATCTGGTGTGTTTATTCATGCTTGTAGACTTCTCTTACAACCATTTTGCTTTCTGTGTTCCGTTGAGATATTAACAGCTAGCTAAGTCATTTTGACTCATATACTTAGGAAGAGAAGGGAAAACAATGTCTGGAACTTTATTTCCTTTTTTTTCTTTTTGGAACTTTACTTCCTTTTTTTAAAAAACCAAATTTATTTCAATAGTAGTCTATAGTTTTTGCCCTAGAATTTACTCCTTTTAAACCAATGCTGTCCCCAATATTTTGAAACAAGTTTTCTCAATTCAAAATCATTCATGTTTTCCCTCCTATATTATTTCTTTTACTCAAATCTTCTTGTTTCATCTGTGAGGACTTTTTTCCAAAAGCCCTAATCATTTTATTATTTTGACTTATGTGTTTGGAATCTCAGTATAATTGAAAAAAATTTTTACTGTATACAGAACAGTTATAAAAATAAAAACCTCATTGTGCCCATGCTAAGAAGTATAAGCAATTCTTTATATGAGTAATGTTTTTAGAAAATACACTAGTGAAATGATGGTGCTTAATACAAATACATTATGAACTTAATACAAACACAAATGTTTTTGAACTTTCCTTATACTTTGTATGTAATTATTTATATGTAACATCTTATTTAATAAATTCTACATAGCTATAAAATCTTAGAACTTGAAGGTTGGAAGGGACCTCTGTTTTAGAACTCCTTCATTTTATATACAAGGGTTTGCCCAAGTCACACAGCCAGCAGAGGGCAGAGCGGGACTAGAAATCCAGCCTTCTGACACAAGTTCTTTAACTCTATCAGTGTTTCTCAAACTCGGATCTGTGGACCCCTGGGGTTCCTAAGACATATTCTTCAGGATCTAGAAGTTTCTGTGAGAAATTTTAAGTCTTTTTCGTTTATTTTCAATGATAGTCACTGTGTCCACCTTTTAACCAAGGTACAGTCTCTGGATTTCAGAACTTACATTGGTTTTATATTAAGTTTGAGACAAGTGAAGGCCAAATTCATAACATACAGTCCAAATGAAAGTTCTGTGAAATAAAAGCAGTGATAACCAGGCCATTACCCTGTATATTTCTATGTATGTGGGGTGAAGGCAAGCCAAACTCAAAAAAGCCATAGCAGAGAAGTAAATTCCATTTTACATTTCAAGCAGTGATTTACATTAGCAAAACAAAATCCTTTGTAATGTTAAATAATGTTGCTGATTAGAATTATTGGATTTGTAGTTTTGTTTGAATAGAATCTGAATTTGCTTTGCTTTTATAGTTTATATATTAGCTGTACATAAAGAATTCATACTTAGATTTAATATTATACAGATTGAGTAACACTGTGCTAGAATTACTTTAAAAAGAAAAAATTGAGGCCCTTGAGAATTGCTCCTCCCTCGATACATTTGTATACTCTACAGTTTCAGGTTTTCAAAGCACAAGGGAAATAAGTAACCACCACAGAAGTGTGCCATATGTGTTACAGTAGCCAAGGGCAGTCTTTAAAATTCTAGTGTTCATCATTCCTGCCTCATGAAAAGAAGCATATACTAAAAGGCAGACTCTTATCTGTCCCTGGATCTCTTGCTTAGGAGGCTGTGGGAGCTCCTGCTGGAGTCAGTTTAACCCTTTGGGCCTATTTCCCACTTTGCAAAACAAAGGATTAAAACTAGACCGGTATTTCCTAAAGTATAGAGACCATAGGTGGCACAAAGGTGAAAATTTTTTGACTAGTTATGCATTTGTTTTAACGTGCATTTTAAAATTTAATTAGCATATGAAACCCGGGATTTTATTGATAAAGGCTCGATTGATTAAGGGGAAAAAATGAGTCAAATTTAAGGAAAAAAAACAAGTGGTATGCAGATATGGCAAAAATTGAGAGGATGGTATGTAAATGAGTCAAATTAAAAATGGCTGAACAATATGATTTAAAATGACACTTTTAGTTCTAAAATTCTGTTGGATCCTAATAATCTGAAGGTTGAAGAGTACCTTTACGACAGTTAGAGATTTCAGTACAACCTCTTTAAGTAGATTTTGGCACAGATGCTTGAAGAGGGTTTTAGAGAGGCATGGGGCTTTTTGATATGTTGATCTATTTGCTGCTGTCTTACTTATTATAAAGTTAACCTGAATAAACCTAGTTATTAGAGATCAAGTTGGTCCATCTATATTTGGACCAACTTGATCCAATCAATATAAAGTCTTTAGGCTTTTTTAACTTAACATCTCATGAAAACTCTCATGCTATGCAAGGTGTACTTGCCTTTAAGAAGCACAAACCACATTCCGTTTGCGCTGAATTTTTGATTCCATAATTCCTTACCACATTGTTGCTTCACTTCAAAAGGCTGTTGACTTAGATGGGACTTGCTTTTGATCCTGAAGGCATGAAATTAAAGGTCTATCCTTTGTAACCACTTCCTGCCACTTGCCTCCTACCATTCTACAATTTCCTTCTATGTGCCATTTTACAGGTTCAAATTTATGGTATGAATACAAAACAGCCAGACAGAATTTTTCACAAACATACCAGAATGTATGCATTCAAATAAATATTATACTTCAAAATAGCAATATGCTAAAATATTTTAAATATCCTTATTGGAGCCAATTGAAATGAGAAAGTCTTTCTTGCTGGGTTCTCTTCTATTTCCATACCCTTTTATTCTCCTAGTTTTCTTGTTCTCACACTACCTCTTTTCCTCTTGTTTAATAACTAATACAGTGCCATTTGTTGAATGCCTGCCATGTACCAGATATAAATACTCATATTTCATTTCATCCCTAAAATAACCCTATAAGGTACTGTAACCCAGTTTTACAGATGAGGAAACTGAGGTTTCACCAAAAGTTAAGTAATTTGCAGAGCCAGAATTTTTCTGTTCAGTAGGACTCTAATAGTGAGCTCTGGGACATACCTCATGCATCTCTGCCCATTCCCTCATTTCTCCACCTGCCTCCAGTGCCTGCCCTCTTCTTGTCTCCAAAGGGGAGTGCTGACAGTGGCCTAGAGCCAAAGACTCTGAGGAAAAGAACCATGTGACTCCACAAGGTCCTGAGCCCAGGCAGAAATAGAGTACATCAGGAAGAGAGCTCAGCTTTGCAGACTGCCTCTATTGGTGGGCATAACTGCCGGAGTGAATGCCATGATCCTGTACTACAGATTTCAAATAGATAACTAGAAGTTGAGGGTTTCTGGGGTTGGGAGAAGGGAACAGACCTCAATTTCCATTCACAATCCAACTTACCTGTCCACAGGTAGGTGCTATAGAGGGAGCTGTATAATAGAACAAACACCAAAATTTGTCCAACAAAATTTTTTTCTTTAACAAAATTCCATATCATCATTCCAGCACAGACAATAGACTAAAAAGAAAATTATTAAAAGACTTTTTAAATAGCTAAGAAAACCATATAATTCAATATTATCACAGACAATAACTATTAATAGCCAGTTATACTCATGTTTTATTAATAGCAAATATAATTACTCATTTTAAATTATTGCTAATTATCAACAATTACATCCTAGTTATACTAAAACTTCAAGCTTTATGATAAAAAGCCCTTTTATACAGAGTCTTTAACAATGTACATATTCAATCAAAACAGATAATGAGTACATTCTAAATAGCAACCTAATCCCTGTATTTAGTAATAGTAAATTTAGCATAGAAAATGCTAAACTTCTTTCCATTATAATTTGAGACATGCAAAGTTTAACTAGAAAAAATAAGATTGTGAGAGAGTTCAATTTTTAATGATTCATTTATTTCTATTAAAAATGCAGAGTTATCATCAAATGCCATCATTAGCCTCAACTTTAGATAGTTCAAGACCTATTGCAATATTTAATATATTAGGCATAAACCAATTGTAATCAAATTGTAATTGACTAATTTGGTAATACTCCGGACTTTATAACAGGAAAAACCGAGCAAAGTAATTTTCTCCTATAGTATAATAATCCATGAGAAGAACATAGTTATAAATATCTGTAGGTTTACTAACCTGAGCAACGAGTAAATTAGTTGTAAGCATATGAGGAAGCTGTTTATATTTCTTACTCAAAAGAAGAATAGCCAGAGACCAGATCTTGAAGACAAAAGGTTCAAAAGTTATTCATGTTTCTTAATCAGTATAATTACTTATTAAATAACACATTGATTAGCCTCTTTAAAGAATCCTCTTGGTCTTGATTCAGAAAAAATTCCAATATTTTATTTACTTTGACCTGTCTAGTTCCAAAGAGGTAAATTACTATATCCAAAGTAAAATAAAAAGTATGGAGAGATCCCATAGCAAATTAACTGTCCAAAAATTATAGGATCTTTAAGAACTAATACCTTGGCCAGGGCCATGTTCTAACTACACCTACATTCAGCAGCTGGGATGGGTCACAGGGTCATAGGCAACTAATCAGGAAAAGAGCTTTAGTGGGAGATACAGTTATAATGCCCTATTCTAAGTTCTTCCTTTTTGATTCCCACTATATTGGCTCATGAGATATCTAAATTCCAGGCTGTCTTACTTCAAACAACACACACCACCCACCCTAAGACTAATTGTCTTATGTTCCACGTATTTAAGAGATCTGGGTTTCTACTCCACCTACATAGTGGCCAGGTAAGTATCCTAGTTGATTTCCTTCTTTCTGTCCTCACTGCCAATTGAAATTTATATAGTCTCTTTCCCCAAATTGCTCTCTTATCTACCAATGGACATAGATTTTAAGAATATGTGACAGAGGTGGAATTTCTTAAAAATTACATTAATTATCCATTTATTTGTTGCCAATATACATATTCATCCCTATCCCCTTTCCTTTACCTGTAAACGTTGCCTTTTTTTCCAGTCAGAATACTGTTTGAATTCAATAGGCAACTTGATCTGTAAGATACTCTAGTTGTCAAATGCTTAACTATTTAATTTGAGCTAGATATATCCAATTTGAAAAGTAACCTAAAGTTTTGTTAACATTAAATAAGCAGTTGGCCTTAATTCCAGAGATCCCTTCTGACCCCATGATTCTACAACAGCTAGCATTTGTATAGTGATTCATCATTTGCAAAATGCTTTTCATGTATCTCATTTAATCCCTAAAACAACCCATGGAAATATGTGAAATTATCTTTATTTTATAGCTGAGAAAATGGAAGCTTAGAGACATATTGCTAGTTTGTGATAGGGCTGGGTTTTTTGTTTGTTTTCTGTTTTTTTTTTTTTGAGACAGAGTCTCACTCTTTTGCCCGGTCTAGAGTGAGTGCCATTGGCTTCAGCCTAGCTCACAGCAACCTCAACCTCCTGGGCTCAAGCAATCCTCCTGCCTCAGCCTCCCAAGTAGCTGGGACTACAGGCATGTGCCACCATGCCCGGCTAATTTTTTCTATATATATTTTTAGTTGTCTGATTAATTTCTTTCTAATTTTTAGTAGAGATGGGGTCTCGCTCTTGCTCAGGCTGGTCTCGAACTCCTGAGCTCAAACAATCCGCCCGCCTCGGCCTCCCAGAGTGCTAGGATTACAGGCATGAGCCACCGCGCCCGGCCTGTTTTCTGTGTTTTTTTTTCTTTTTTTGTTTTTGAGACAATCTTGCTCCATTGCCCTGAGTATAGAGCAGTGGTGTCATCATAGCTCACTGCAACCTCAATCTCCTGGGCTCAGGTGATCCTTCTGAGCAGCTGGGACTACAGATGTGCCATCATGCTTGGCTAATTTTTTCTATTTTTGGTAGAGAGGGGGGTCTCATTTTTGCTCAGGCTGGTCTCAAACTCCTGAGCTCAAGCAATCCTCCCACCTTAGCTTCCCTGAGTGCTAGGATTACAGGCGTGAGCCCTTGCCCAGCCTGGGCTAGTTTTGATAGGAGTCAAATCCACACCTGACTAAATCTTATGCTTTGTCCACTATACAACTCTAACTCCCAACTGGAAAAAAAAAAACTCAGTTAATTGGAAGGTTGATACTGTGTTTTATGGGCAGGCTTTAGCTTTCTCTATTTCATAAGAAACCAGATTTTAAATCCCTTTCTATTACCAAGCTATTCTCAAAACTCATTCTGTGGTTTCCATTCATGTTTACAATGAAATGTACTTACCAAAGAGACCAAGCTGATAATACTTATATCAAAACTAACATTCTGGATGGCATATGCCAATGGCTTTGGGTCCATAGTGGGAAAGGTCAGTAACCAGGCAGAAACGTACATGATGGGAGCAGACACAAATGTGCTTATTACCATCCCTGAGGTTACCTGCAAAAATGAAATCAAATTGAGGAGTCACAATCTCACTTAAATACCTTAAACTTTAAATAACCACAGCACACTAAAGCATTCTAAAATAAAACTGGGAGTTAGTGAAGACGACATAAAATCCAGTATGTGATCCAATGCCGTATTTCCTGTTTCTGAGAGTCCTTAAAAGAAAATACAGTTAAGTCTCCTTGGTTCCCCTTCCAATTTATGCTTAATTTATATTTATACATAACAAATAGTAGAAATTCCACTGTTTTTTTTTTTTTTTTTTTGAGAGTCTCACTCTGTTGTCCCAGGTAGAGCTCCTGGGCCCAAGCAATCCTCCAGCCTCAGCCTCCTGAGTTGCTGGGTACAGGTGCACACCACACCCAGCTAATTTTTTTATTTTTAGTATAGACAGGGTCTCATTCTTGCTCAGGCTGGTCTC